AAAAAAAAAAAAAAGCAAACATGTTCTTTATTGGTTTTGAGAGAGAGGGGAAGGGAGAGGGATAGAGAGATAGAAACATCAATTGGCTGCTTCCTACATGCCCCCTACTGGGGCTTGAGCCCACAACCTGGGCATGTGCCCTGACAGGGAATCAAATCCGTGACCTCTTGGTTCATTTGTTGACACTCAACCTCTGAGCCACCCCGGTCAGGCCAGGCTGGGTCTCTCCATGGCAGAGCCTCCGGCTGAGGTCTCTTCCTGATAGGAAGGTTCGGGACATCTTTAATGTCGTCACAGGGGTCGATGGGCTGGGAGCACCATGGGGCACCCACACATCGAGAGGCTGAGTGTCTACTGAGGTGTTAGCCACAGGGACACATATCCCCGGCACACAGGAAGGCGGCACCAAGGAAAGCTGCCTGACCCGAAATGCTATGGAAGGGGTCAGGGGGTTGACTAGCTCGTGTTTTTTGTTCGTTTTTTAAACAACTGAGTTTGTTTATTTTTTTAAAAAAATATATTTTATTGATTTTTTACAGAGAGGAAGGGAGAGGGATAGAGCGTTAGAAACATCGATGAGAATCATTGATCAGCTGCCTCCTGCACACCCCCTACTGGGGATATGCCCGCGAGCAAGGTACATGCCCTTGACTGGAATCGAACCTGGGACCCTTCAGTCTGCAGGCCAACACTCTATCCGCTGAGCCAAACCGGTTAGGGCAAATAGCTGGTGTTTTTATAGTGATATTTTTGCATCGATTGCTCTTTTTCTTCATCATGTTTTGCATAAATAATAAAATAACGCTATGGCTCACTCTGTAATATGTAATAACCTGGGCCAGCTAGAGAGGTGGACCCCAGGCAGCCCCCCATAGATACCCTTCAGCCCAGTCTCTTGGGGCTTACCAGCGATGGAGTCAGGGGCCCAGCTGGTACTGGGTCCCCGGGAGTCTCTGGCTGGCTGTTCAAGGCCTTTGGCTCCTCTGTGGGAACCGCCCAGTGCAGAGTCAGCAGTTCTGCCGAAATCGGGCAAGCAGCCCAGCCGCCCCACTGGGGACGTCCAGGGCCAGATGGATGGAGCTGCTCGCCTGGCCGCCCTGCAGCACATTCTGACGTAGGTGGAAGGTGCTCGGGGGTGTGGAGCCCGGTCGGCCTGGCACCCCCCCGCCCCCCCAACATCGTCCTGTCCCCATCCTGGCTCCTCTGCATTAATCCCTCAGCCCGACATCGATTTTCCCTCCTCACCTGGCGGCCAGGCTTTGATGTTGGGACGCGCTGTCCCTCCAGGTGCTGAGCAAGGCCGACCTTGGCCTCCCGGCCCCTGCAGAGCACACGGCTGAAGTCCTCCTGTCACTTTTGTTGTTGTTGTTGTTAATCCTCATCTGAGGATATTTTTCCACTGGTTTTTAGAGTGGGAGGGAGGGAGAGGGAAAGACAGAGAGAACCATTAATGTATAGAGAGGGAGAGACATTGATTGGTTGCCCAGGCCCCAACAAGGGCCAGGGATGGAGCCTGCAACTGAGGTATGTGCCCTTGACCGGAATCGAACCCAGGACCCTTCAGTCCATGGGCTGACGCTCTATCCACTGGGCCAAACTGCCTAGGGCTCCTGTGCATTTTGCCACCTTCCTGGAGAGGCCACCAAACACCAAGGCACCAATGACCCAGTCCCATGGCCGTTCCTGCACAGCCACCCGGGCCTGCGGGCCCTTGAGGGGCTGCCACTCGGGTGGCTAAGGAAGGACTTCAGGCCGAGACAGACCTGTCATCACAGGCAGCAGCACGAGGGGCCTCCTCCTCTGATTAACGTTTAAATGAGTCGGGGGGAGGGGAGCGCTGGTGGGGCTGAAGGGGAAGTAGGATGTTGGGGATCCCATGCCCTCTCTGGGGGGCTGAGCCTGGGGAGTCAGGGTGCCCATTCCGGGTGAATCCCAGCAAGTTCCCTAGGGACTAGGGGAGAGCCTGGAGAGACTGAGATGGGTGCCGGAGAGCAGAGCGGGGCACACATGGGGCACAATGGGATAGCCCCACCTCTAGGCCATGAGGATGTCAGCAGGAGGGACCCTGGGGCTGCCCAGAGGCAATGGGGAGGCTGTGGGGGGTGAGGGGGGCTATGGGGAGCTATGGGGAAACATACATGCAAGCACTAGGTTCTAAAGCAGAGCCCTGCGGGGTCCCCGAGCCCTGTTGTCACCTCTGCTTCCTCCTCGGCCCCCTCCCAGTTTCCAGGAACCTTGCTCTGGACCACCCAGGCCTCAGGCTCAGCCTCTCAGAGGCCTTGGCATGCTTTGGACACCACCTGATGTTTTTAAAAAGCTCCTTTCCCTTTATTTTTTTTTTAATCCTCCCCTGAGGAGTGAGGATATTTTTTTCCATTGATTTTTAGAGAGAGTGGGAGGGAGGGGGGAGAGAGAGAAACATGAGAGAGACACATGAATTGGTTACCTCTCGCTCACATCAGACCAGGGCTGAGGCTTGAACCTGCACCGAGGTACCTGCCTTTGACTGGGAATCGAACCCGTGACCCTTTGGTCTGTGGGATGATGCTCTAACCACTGAGAAACCCAGCCAGGGCTCCTTTCCTTTTGATTACGAAGCCAGTACGTGCAGTTTGTGGACAATACAGGGAGAAATACAAGGAAGGGCGACGGGCAGAGCAGTGTCATCTGAAATCTCAGCACCCAGCGCGGGAAGCCAGGGCTGAAATTTGGGTGTATCTCTCTCTTTCCTCTGTAGGCGTGACACACACGTACACACATATCGCCCTGGCTGGGTTGCTCAGGGCTTCTTTCCTTTTGATTACGTACAGTTTGTGGACAATACAGGGAGAAATACAAGGAAGGGCAGTGGGCAGAGCAGTGTCATTGAAATCCCAGCACCCAGCGCGGGAAGCCAGAGCTGAAATTTGGGTGTATCTCTCTCTTTTCTCTGTAGGCGTGGCACACACGTGTACACACATATCGCACAGATTCATCCCCCCAACCCACACGCAAGGCCGCTCTCCAGCAGACCCCTCAGGAGACACATGCCAGGTCAGTCCATGCTGTCCTGAGACCTCGGGTGGCCGCCTAGCCACCGGGGCCACCAGAGAGTGGCCACCGGAGCTTCTGGTTGGGATCAAACTGGGCACAGGGGTTGGCAAGGCTCCCAGCCACCTCATATCTCAGCAATTCAGCCCCATGCTTGCTCCTGGCACCTCCTGCCTGGGCTGGGAGGGTAGGAGGTGGAGAAAGACAAGGTACAGGAAGGGCGGGACTGTAGTGACCAAGCTGGTCAGCAGAGGGCAGCAAAGGGCCATAGAGCTGCCCTGGATGAGTCCCCTGGCCCTGCGGCCTGTCCCACCTCCAGGACCCAGGACCCTGACCCACGGCTGCAGGGGGAGGTCAGGCCTCACCTTTCCCACTCCCCCACCCTCCCCCTCCCCCCCCCAGTCCCACCCTCTCACAGTCCCGCTCCCCCCACAGTCCAGCTGCTGGCCTGGAGGCCACCTCCCTTCAAGCCTGTCTCCTGCCCCCAGTACAGAATTCTCAGCACCCTCCCTCCACTGTCCTCTTCCTCCCTCCTCCCCTCCCCCTCAGCACACACACGAGTCACCCTCCTGGACACTGTCCTGGTTCGTCCCAGAGCCCAGCACAGGGTCTCCCGTTCTCATTCCCAGGCCCCTGAGGCTGGGATGAGGCTCCAGAACATTCTGTGTGGCCCTCATGATACAGGCACTGCTACATCACATGTCCCCAAGAATGTCCCTCCCAGCAGCGTGGAGACCCCTGCTTGGCAGACAGGCTGGCGTGGCCACCAGTGGCATTTGTGGACACATGATGCGTGGCCCTTCTCGGTGAGCCCCCCCACCCCGCCCCCCAAAGGCGAGGGAGCAACTTCCCAGAGAGACTCAGCCTCCAGGGCTTGGTCAGGCGCCCTCAGGGGCCAGCGTCCCCCAGGGAGTCCCGACAGAGGTCCTCACACACTGGGCCCCTGTGCGGCTCCCCCGTGCCCAGCATCCCGGGGGTTACAGAGCCTTGTCCCCTCAGCCAATGGCCGGTCCCTCTGTGTCCTTTATGTTGGGGAGCCCACCCCTTCGAGGCTGCTAGTCCCAGGACCTTCCGTGGCTCTTTCCCATCAGCCAGGCTCAGCTCTTCGCTCCCTCAGCCCCAGGAGTGTATTCCGAATTTGTCATCAGGACCCTAAGCTCTCCTGCTCCCCACTCCCTCTGCCGGCCCCACTCTTCCTGGTCCTTGGCCGCTCCCTTCACCACCCACCTTCTTTCTCTGGTGACTGTGTCCAGTGTCTTAGCTGCAACTAGGACCCTCTGCTATAACTAGAGAGGCCCACAGTCCCTCTCCAGCCCAGGACTTGAGGGTGCCCCCCGCCCCCCCCAAGACCATATCTGTGGGTAGGCAGGTCCTGGCCTCATCAGGGGTCCCGTGAAGGCTCCACAGTTAGCCCAGCCTTCCCTAAGCTCTGCCCCCCCTCAATCCCCCCCCCAGCACCTCCCAGCTATTTGACCCCAGACTTCATTTCCCTGCCATTGACTCAGTTTTCTCATCTCTACAATGGAGCTGATGGGGGATGAAATGAGAGAATGAAAGCCCTCAGTGAGGGGTGGAGAAGGGCTAACAGACACCAGCAGAGGCACGTGGCAGCCAGGGGCCTGTCTCTCTGAGCAGCAGGAGGAACTGGGGCTTGTCGGCCGGGAGCCCCGTGGAGTCGGCTGTGCAGTGGCGGTAGCTGCAATGCCCCATTTGTTGCAGCTGACAATGTGTCCTGGGAGGGGGTGGTGGTTTGGGGAACATCACCTGGCTTTCTGGACTGGAGGGTTCCATCTTTGGACTGAAGGGGCCAGGGACCATTCCAGACTCAGTACCGAGGGGGCGGGTGAAGCCGGCTGCCCACCCCACTTTGGCCACCTTTCTTCTGCCTGCCAGCCTCTCCCCTCCCCATCCCCTCAGTCCTGCCTGGTGCCCTGGAGCCCTCCCTCCCTCCCCTACCTTGGGCTCAGACCCCGAAGTGGAGCATGTGGGAATCAAGCTGACTTACAGATGCCACCGGAGGGAGGCAGTCTGGCTGGGGCAGAGGTGGGAGTAAGGGGAATGTTGCCTCTAAACACAAGGGGACAAAACGGCCCAATGACCCTAAATTGCCTTGAGGCCGGCGCCCCGAGGGCCAGGAGCTGGGGGGTTATTGAGGGGGGGACAAAAGCTCAGATGGGCCACATGGGCCTCTGGCTCCAGGCTCTGCAAAGGCTGGCAGCCTCCCAGGCCCACCCAGCCAGACCCCAGCTGGAAGGGATATGGGGTTTCCTACAAGCCCCTCTCAACCCCTGTGAGTGGTTTTCTCACCAAAGCCTGAGAACTGTGGGGGTGGGCGTCCTCAGGCCACCCCTCCCTCAGCTCAAACTAGAAACTGTGCGTGCGGATCGCGGCACGTGTTGGTTCTGACTTTCCAGTGCAGTTCTTCCAATTTCACAAAATATTGCCCAATCCAGACATGTACAAGGAAAGAAGACGGGGTGTGCTGCGGGGAGGATGGGAGGAGCAAGGGGCTATCGTGGGTGAGTCTGCGGCAAGCAGCCACGGGGCTATGACATCACTTCCGTCTCTCTCTTCAATCTCTCAAATATTTCAATCAGGGAAATAAAATGTCCGCTCCACGATGGTGGCTTCTACACTGCTCCTTGGTCTCTACGGTCAGAATTCTCCCTTTGTGGCACCCTGGGTACAATCTTCTGCATTTGGGGGCTCGGGGAACAGGGGACGGTGAAGCTGGCAGCTGGAAGCTAGGATTGGGTGGCGGCCCCACCTGATGTCCGAGACCTGGAGCCTGTGGCCAGGTGTGGGGGAAAGGAGAGGTTGCAGGTCTGACTCCTGGCTTTCCTGCTTGTCCTCAGATACTCTCAGCTCGGTGCTGCCCCAGGGCCTTTGCACTGGTGGTTCTTTCTGCCCGAGTCTGACACCTTCTTTAGTACCCACTCAGGCAACCCCCACCTGAGTGCTGTTTCTGCAGCATCTGGTTTGGTTGCACTTCCTCGCTGCCTGCACCTGCCCTGGCACCTGGCATGTACCTGTCCTAGAAAGTAAGCCCTATAGAGGCTGGACGCAGTGGAGGGAGGCTCCCTCACTCTGGGGGGACCTCTGGGGTCACGTCTCTGACTGTATACGTGCTGGGCTCTCACCCCAGCCCTGTCCTCCAGTTGCTCACGCTCAATCCTCTCAGGTGTCCCAGGTGTGCTGGCTCAGGGCTGCAGGTCACAGCCTTAAGCCCTCCATCTGGTCACGGGCGTGGGTGCAGCCCAGATCCCCATCCCGCCTTCCCCATAAATAAAAGATTCCCTTCCTCCTTTCAGCCTCGCATAGCCACAGCCTGCTCACCACCCGGCCCTTTGTGCCCACGCGTTG